ACTTTGGCAGTAAATATTATGGACCTGATATCTTGAGCCTGTGTCATGCATACATGCCAATCTTGCCAGTGAATAATATAGACCTGATATCTTGAGCCTGGTCATACATACATGCCAACCTTGCCAGTGGATAATATAGATCTGATATCTTGAGCCTGGGTCATGCATACTTGCCAACCTTCACCAGTGAATAATATAGACCTGATATCTTGAGACTATGTCATGCATACATGCCAACCTTGCCAGTGAATAATATAGACCTGATATCTTGAGCCTGTGTCATGCATACATGCCAACCTTCACCAGTGAATAATATAGACCTGATATCTTGAGCCTGTGTCATGCATACATGCCATCCTTGGCAGTGAATAATATAGATTTGATATCTTGAGCCTGTGTCACGCATACATGCCACCCTGGCCAGTGAATAATATAGTCCTGATATCTTTAGCCTATGTCATGCATACATGTCACCCTTGCCAGTGCATAATATAGATTTGATATCTTGAGCCTGTGTCATGCATACATGCCAACCTTGCCAGTGAATAATATAGACCTGATATCTTGAGCCTGTGTCATGCATACATGCCAAACTTGGCCAGTGAATGATATCCACATATCTTCAGTTTTATATGGCAATGGATGGCATGTATATATCACATAGAAATCATGTCATCTATCAATATTATTCAGTGGCAATGGGTGGTATATATGAAACATAAGCTCAGGATATCCTGTTCATTTTCTTCAGTGGCACCAGATGCCTCCATCCTCTCACTGTGCCATACAGACACACCACCCAGTCACTGTGTAATACAGACAGACCACCCAGTCACTGTGTAATACAGACAGACCACCCAGTCACTGTGTAATATAGACAGACCACCCAGTCACTGTGTGATATGGTCAGACAGACAGACAGACAGAGAACTCTTCCACTGCGTGATATGGTCAGACCCTGTCATTGTGAATCTGTGATAGGCCACCCAGTCACTGTATGATACAGACAGACCACCCAGTCACTGTGTGATACAGACAGACCACCCAATTGCTGTGTGATACAGGCAGACCACCCAGTCACTGTGTAATACAGACAGGCATCTCTGTCACTGTGTGATACAGAGGAGTCAGGCAGACCACCCAGTCACTGTGTAATACAGACAGACAACCCAGTCACTGTGTAATACAGACAGACCACCCAGTCACTGTGTGATATAGACAGACCATCCAGTTGCTGTGTGATACAGGCAGGCCACCCAGTCACTGTGTGAGACACACAGGCCACCCAGTTGCTGTGTGATACAGGCAGGCCACCCAGTCACTGTGTGATACAGACAGGCATCTCTGTCACTGTGTGATACAGAGGAGTCACCCAGTCACTGTATGATAAAACAGGGCACCCAGTCATTATGCGATACAGACAGGCCCTCCACACAGTGTGATACAGACAGGGCAGCCAGTCACTGTGTCATACGGACAAGCCTCCCAGTCACTGTGTGATACACACAGGGAACTGAGTCACTGTGTGATACAGACAGGGCACCCAGTCAATGTGTGATACAGACAGGGCACTGAATCACTTTGAGATACAGACAGACCTCCCGGTCACTGTGTCATACAGATAAGCCACCTATGATACAGACAGACAACCCAGTCACTGTGTGATACAGACAGACCACCCAGTCACTGTGTGATACAGACAGGCCCTCCGGTTACTATGTGATACAGACAGGCCCTCCAGTTACTATGTGATACAGACAGGGTGCTCGGCCACTTTGAGATACAGACAGGGCGCTCGGTCACTGTGTAATACAGACAAGCCACCCAGTCACTGTGGAAAGCAGACAGAGCACCCAGTCACTGTGTGATACAGACAGGCCCTCCTGTTGCTGTGTGATACATACATGCCACCCAGTCACTGTGTGATACGGACAGGGCACCCTGTCATTGTGATATACAGAGAGACCACCTAGTCACTGCGTGATACAGACAGTACACCCTGTCACTGCGTGATACAAACAGATCACCCTGTTACTGTGAGATACGGGCAGGCCACCCAGTCACTGTGTGATACAGACAGACCACCCAGACACTGTGTGGTACAGACAAGCCACCCAGTCACTGTGTGATAAAGACAGACCACCAAGTCACTGTGTGGTACAGACAAGCCACCCAGTTACTGTGTGATAAAGACAGATCACCAAGTCACTGTATGATACAGACAGGGCGTTCGGTCACTGTGTGATTAAGACAGGGCACCCAGTCACTGTGTGATAGAGACAAGCCCTCCAGTTGTTGTGTGATACGGACAGAGCACTGAGTCACTGTGTGATACAGACAAGCCATCCAGTCACTGTGTGATACAGACAAGCCACCCAGTCACTGTGTGATACAGACAAGCCACCCAGTCACCGTGTGATACAGACAAATCACCCAGTCACTGTGTGCTACAGACAAGCCATCCAGTTACTGTGCGACAAAGATAGGGCACCAAGTCACTGTGATACAGACAAGCCACCCTGTCACTGTGTGATACAGACAAGGCACTGAGTCACTCTGAGATACAGACAGGGCACCCAGTCACTGTGTGATACAGATAAACCACCTATGATACAGACAGGCCATCCAGTCACTGTGCGATACAGACAGGCCATCCAGTCACTGTGTGATACGGACAAGCCACCCTGTCACTGTGTGATTCAGACAGGCCATCCAGTCACTGTGCGATACAGACAGGCCATCCAGTCACTGTGCGATACAGACAGGCCATCCAGTCACTGTGTGATACAGACAGGCCATCCAGTCACTGTGCGATACAGACAGGCCATCCAGTCACAGTGCGATACAGACAGGCCATCCAGTCACTGTGCGATACAGACAGGCCATCCAGTCACTGTGCGATACAGACAGGCCATCCAGTCACTGTGCGATACAGACAGGCCATCCAGTCAGTGTGATACAGACAGGGCACCGAGTCACTCTGAGAAACAGACAGGGCACCCAGTCACTGTGTGATACAGATAATCCACCTATGATACAGACAGACTACCAAGTCACTGTATGATACAGACAGGGCGCTCGGTCACTTTGTGATACAGACAGGCCATCCAGTCACTGTATGATACAGACAGGGCGCTCGGTCACTGTGTGATAAAGACAGGCCACCCAGTCACTGTGCTATACATACAGGCCACCCTGTCACTGTGTGATACAGATAGGCCACCCAGTTTCTGTGTGATGCAGACAGGCCATCCAGTCACTGTGAGATACAGACAGGCCATCCAGTCACTGTGTGATACAGACAGGCCATCCAGTCACTGTGTGATAGAGACAGGCCACCCAGTCACTGTGTGATACAGACAGGCCATCCAGTTACTGTGTGATACAGACAGGCCATCCAGTCACTGTGCGATACAGACAGGAGATCCAGTCACTGTGTGATACAGACAGGCCACCCAGTTGTTGTGTGATATGGTCCGGCCATGCTGTCACTGTGATACAGATAGACCATCCAGTCAGTGTGAGATACGGACTGGGCACGCAGTTGTTGTGTGATATGGTCAGGCCATGCTGTCACTGTGATACTGATAGACCACCCACTCAGTGTGCGATACAGACAGGGCACGCATTTGCTGTGTGATAAGTACATGTGTTACTGTGTGATATGGTCAGGCCATCCCGTTCCTGTGTGATACAGACAGGGCATGCAGTTGCTGTGTGATAAGTACATGTGTTACTGTGTGATATGGTCAGGCTATCCCGTTCCTGTGTGATACAGGCAGGCCACCGAGACTAGGCACCCAGTTGCTGTGTGATACAGACATGCCACCCGTTCAGTATGTGATGCAAACAAGCCATCCAGTCCTTGTGTAATAAAGAGAGGCAACACAGTTGTTGTGTGATAAGGGCGTGTGTTACTGTGTGATACAAACAGGTCATCCTGTCACTGTGTGACACATTGGATGCATCGCACAGACAGGCCATCACTACTGTGTGACAGGCCACCCAGTCACAGTGTGATACAGACAGGCCCTCCAGTCACTGTGTGATACAGACAGGGCACCCAGTCACTGTGCGATGGAAACAGGGCACCCCGTTGCTGTGTGATACAGACAGGCCACCCAGTCACTGTGCGATACAGACAACCATCCTGTCATACAGGCAGGCAACTCTCTCACCGACACTGTGTGATACAGGCAGGTCACCCAGACTGGGTACCCAGTTGGTGTGTGATACAGCTGCCACCCCTTCAGTGTGTGATGCAAACAAGCCATCTAGTCCTTGCATTGTGTAAGAAAGAGAGGCAACACAGTTGTGTGATAAGGGCGTGTGTTAATGTGTGATACAGACTGACCACCCAGTCAGAGGCCACCCAGTCAATGTGTGATACAGACTGACCACCCAGTCAATGTGTGATACAGACTGACCACCCAGTCAATGTGTGATACAGACTGACCACCCAGTCAATGTGTGACACAGACTGACCACCCAGTCAATGTGTGATACAGACTGACCACCCAGTCAATGTGTGATACAGACTGACCACCCAGTCAATGTGTGATACAGACTGACCACCCAGTCAATGTGTGACACAGACTGACCACCCAGTCAATGTGATACAAATAGGTTATCGTTGACTATACCATCCCTTTGTGATGTTTACAAGCTGTCCCATCAACATATGACCTTGACAGACTATCCTCTCCCTGCGAGACACTTATTATAGGTTATTACCAGGGTTGAATAGAGCAACATCTTTTACCCCAAGTATGAGGTACTAAAAGCGTGTCTTGAATGCCCATACTCAGCAGAGTTACACAAGTTACACAAGTAATGGTGACCATGTTTGCTCCTATAGTAGATTATCAGGGCCTCCATAATCTATATGCTTTACCATTTGGACTATTACAGAGAGTGTCAAGGAACCTTTACTTTCATTCTGGAAAAAAATACAATGGTAAGTAGAAATTACTGAAAGAAAAATAATGAAAACAAATATCTACATACAAATTAATTTATTTTCTTGTGTGTTAACATTCAAATACAGACTGGTCAGCAAACCGAACTTTCTGACGAAAACTGCACTGCTCAGCACTAAACAGATTTTCCCAAAGCCTCTCAATGATGTCGAGGCCAGTCGGGTGAGATGAACGCTCGTCTCTCCCATCCTGACTGTAAATGGTCCTATTTGTAGCTTATGTACAAATGTTGATGACTAAAACGAGCAACTATTAAAGTGCAGAAGCACCAGAGATGATTTCAATCAACTCCCTGGTAATCACTGCCTGTCTAGTTCGGTTGAAGGTCAAGGTCAGCTTGTCAATCATTTCTCCTGGAAAATAAGATCAGTTACAGATTCATTGAAAGAGAGAGAGAGGATCTTAACAGAAAGCCAGCCCATTGAGAAACATAACTTTAAATGATTTGATCAAATATGCCCCCAAAAATCGTTGATCGGTGAGTCACACAAACGGAATGGAAATAAAAGATCAAGATAAAAATATCATCTATTTGACAAACTGCTAATTATTCTGTGCTAACCAAACAGTATTTCATGTCAACATTTCCATTAATGGAAAGAAAAATATGTCATACCCATTGATTACTCACAACTGTTTTCTGATTGGCTAACAATAAAATGTGCTGGGCTCGACATCACTGATTTTGAAGTTGTTAATAATTGTTGACATAGTTACATATCTAAATTGATAACAGTTTACTCAAATCAATTCTTTAAAAACTATTTTAAAAGTTTAAATTGTGCAGTAACTTTCTTCACAATGATGGTTTTTGCACAAACCTGCATTCTTGCTGGCAGCATCCATAGCCGTCATACGAGAGCTCTGCTCACTACACGAGGCCTCCTTCAGGGCATAGTAGAGGAGGCTGGCGAGAGCATACTCATTGTATGAGCGCACTACATCTTCATCCAGACTGTCATACACGTGGAGCTTCTCAGCACCACTGACGCTATCAAGAGAGAAGAGAGGCAGCTCGGTTGTTGTGTAGGAGACCACACTCCTGAAATGACAGAAATTTTTGTGTTACCAGCAAAAAGTGAAAACATGAAAAGGATAAAAAAGTTAATTTATACTACAAACAATGTGAAGAAATTTGTAAATCGACAAAAATTGCCATAACTGGACTGATGCATCTTTGGACTGATGCACTGTCTAACAGATAACAAACTAAAGCTCAAAATATTGGTTGGGTATTGCCCAACATTTACAGAGGGTGGCCATGTTTGCTGTAAGAATTTTCAGCAAATATTGCTGGTTTATACACAAATTCACAGCTAATAATTCAATTGCTTTAAACATCGACTATCACCAGGAGCATCAAAGGCATATGTGAAGGTCAAAGGCAACAGCCAACACCTGGGTGCTACCTGAGCCAACATTAATGTTTGGCATACACACACTGTTTTCAACTTACTTGAAGATGTTGAAGATCATTGTTCCGTGATCATACTTATAGCCAGACTCCAACAAGGAGCCGGCGATCAAACTAGCATCTGCAAACACTGGGGGCCGCTTGCCAATGTCATTGAATGACAACAATATCTTGTTAGGGTACTGCCTGGAGAAACAAGTTCCCAAGGATTACAATCTTGTATCACAATGTTGTATTACAATGTTGTGCTGGTAATTCACATCTATCTCATCTGTCAGGGGATTCAGTAAATGAACAATTGATTTGGTTTATGTTTATTACATTTGGAACAGTATTTCCGTTATATCAAGGTGTGCAAGATGATTGTGGAAAGCCTAAATTGTTGCAGCTGGGAGAGGTTTATCTCTGTAGTGAAACTGGCAAACACAGATATTGTGCTAAAAGAACTGAGAATTTTAACCCACAACCAGAGGATCCAGACACAACTTGGTAAATTAAGATATCTTAAAAGTAGAAGCAAAAATCCCTATTGTTTTTCCACACTGCGCTTAAACTATAAACACCACCACCACCACTCCACCATTTTGATAATGTGAGAAATTATACATGACAGACAGTACTTAGAGGTTAAACATACCTTTGTAACATGGCTTTGGATTTATCTCCAATACAGACAATCTTGGTGTCAATGCCTGGTTTCTGCTCTGCAAGTGTTGTACGGATGTGTTTTACAACACTGCTGTGGATACCACCACAGAGACCTCTATCAGAGGTCACAGCTACGATCAGGTGGTTCGGCTGGTTTGCATCCTGTTCAACCTCAGCCTTCTCATAAAAAGCTGAAAACACAAAGAAAACTCATTCAAAAACTTTGTGTCTGTTTACTGGTGTTGCAAAACCAAAGATACATTTGGAAAAACAGTCAAATCCCGATGAGTCGAATGCCGGTGTCTTGAATATTATGCATAACTCGAAGTACCTGTCGGTCCCGACCATTCCCTGTTATAGTTGTCATCATTTGATTACCGGTTACACGAATTCGTCTCATAAATACACACGATGACTCGAAAAGGAAATTTGGTCCAATGAAATTCAAACAACAGTAATCTTGTATACATAAGCCGAAGTCAGTCAGTGAGAAGTTAATTGGTGTAGCTAACTGATCCAATTAACAAACCAGCGTGGCTCGCACCTTTCCGCTATTGTCGGGTGAGTTCAAAAGGCAGATTAGTGATTTTACGGAAACGGACAAATTAGCATATTGAGTTAACGCAATCAAATCGGTTGCATTATATAGCAGCTTTCATTCGGTTATTACTATTCATGATCTGTATATCATGGCGGAGTTACAATGCTCCCAGCAATCTGGCCAAGAACCCAGTCTAAATCCTGGGGGGATAACCAGTTGGAAACATCAACTCCAAAACGTAAGCGCATTCTAAAAGTGCACACTATTGACAAGAAGTTTGCAGCGATCACTGCAGTGGAGGCAGGTACCAAATCCGAGAGTGAAATTGCGAGAGAGTTTGAAATTCTGCCTAGCACTCTTTCTACTTGGTTGAAATGAACATTTTTCCCACTTGGCAAGCGTCTGCGAATTTGTGGAAAAATGTAAGGGAAATTCACAGAAACAAACATTAATGTTAGACATTTTCCAGAAGTGAGTTCGTCTTTTTGTAGTAACAAGATTCAAGATGGCGCCATGTATATCTAATGATTGCCGATAGATTTTGTTCACAGATTTTAAGAGGTACATGTATTTTGTATTTCATTGTGCTAGTATTGAAATGTGTTCTCATTTATATACTGTTTGTTTCCATTATCTATGTCACCTAATGTATTGTTGTGCCATATTTTGATATGATGTGCTGAATAAAGGAATTGTTCAATATTCGATCATCTTTTTTTTTCTACCCTCATAGACATACCTATGTCTCGAATACATCGATAAGTCGAATTTATTACTTGGTCCCCAGCGATTCGACTCATCGGGATTTGACTGTAATCATTAATCTGGGTTTTCCAACTAAAAAAATCATTATACCTAGGTTTCAGATTGGTTCTTTTTTAGGACACTAATTATCCTACAAAATGTCAAAAATGATTTTGCCCAAATTCAGAATATTTACAGCTGCCATCAAAATCAATGAATAAACATTTGTCTTCTTGATGTCAAGATCACATGAAAATGAAAAAATAAATAAATCAAACTCGTAACATGAATTATTTATGGGCTTGTACAATAAAACATTTTGACCCCACTCCATTTATTTATTGGACATTTGATGAAAATTGACTAACATGTTCAATTTAAGAACATTTAACCATTTTGTTTTAAACCTTACAGAATCCGGAAGAGGCAAACATTCCTTACCCTTAGCTCCTAATCCATAAGGTCTCGCTGGACGGAGCTCTCTCTCAGCACGGGAGAACTTGGCAGCTGACACCATTTTCATGGACTTGGTGATCTTTTGAATGTTGGTGACGGACTTGAGTCGGATACGAACTAATTAAAGATCAACAATAGTAACTTTTAGAAGAATCTTTGTCGACATTTGGGAAACCAATTTTCGGTTTCCTGTTTCTTACAATACAATGAACATATTGATTCAGGAGTAGAATTACACAAGTTGTAAAAGACCAGCTTAATACAAACAGTTCACAACTCATACTAAACAGTCAGGATGTTAAATTAAGTTAAGCTTCCCAGCTTTCATAAGTCTCTGGATTAGCTGACTTGTGGCCATTCAGAAAACATGAATCAGAATTATGTAACAATAGAAAAATGTGATTAATAATTGCAATCAAAACATTAGAAAAAGCACTGTATGTATTTGACAAGTAAATGCACACAACTAGATGTAACATATAGAATTGAATAGTTAAAAAAATGAAGTCATACTTACTATCCTTCAGTGTTGCCATGCCCCGCACTTGGGTGCTTGGGAAGAAAGAAATATATATGGTAAATAACAAACAGCTAGAAATTTGATTTCTAGGTACACCTACAGAATAACGGATACCTACCAGCCTATTATTTAGTGTCACATCACCCTAAGCCTAAAGCTAACCCTAAACCTTACCCTATCCCTTACCATAAGTAAACTCACGTGCGTTCAAAGATGGTGGAAGGTACCTGGTATTCTGTAGTCTTACCGATTTCTGCCTATTAACAAATCAAAGAAACTGTTCATCCCAGTCTCAAATAATTTACCAATATGCAATACCAGAGTGGCACATTTTGACTCTCAGAAATTGTGGTTATCACATCACACATCTGTATTAAAACTTCTGACTGCCACTAAACTACTGTCCCTATGCTATCACTAACCATGTATGTATACATATTACTTTGTTGAAAAAAACTTTAACTGGAGACTACAAGAATGACGACAATTTTATGGATATACAACTATTTTAATCTGTATAGGTGACACTTTGGCTGATTCTTATGTCATTGTCAAGCAAGTAAATATGTCAGATAGAGTACAGGCCTGAAACAGAGCATTACCACTGTGAAAATCCATAACCCTCATCATGGCACAGAAAAAAACATTTTCTATTACTGAAAAAACACACCAAAATTTCACAGGGGAATATGGCATGGGAGAGGAGGGACTCTAATCACAGCAATAATTTTTTGACAAACGGAAGATTACACCATAACAAGTATCAAGCATTTGTGATGACTATAACTATGTTGAAATGACATGTCCTGCTCAATATCAGAGGGTTATACTTAACATGTTCACTACAAGCATTGTATGTTGGTCAACAAGTAGGACAGGACAGTACTACAGGTGTTTCTGAGCACGCAAATAATAAAACAATTATCACACAATACTGTGTGTTTGCAGAACATTTGGACATATTTCATTTCAGAGCCAAACAAACTACATACAAATATGCTGAATGTCTGACTTTCGTGTCAATCACCTTGAAATTGACTTTGATGTTGCATGTGGCAAAGAGTTAGTAACAGACAAGAAATGCATTTCATTCACCAGTTCAGCATTGATTATGTCATAAATGGCATATGTTTTATATTATTTCAAAAATGTAACTTTGATAATGTCACAAACAACTACACACCATTGCGGTGAAATTACTTGCACCGTGCGTGATAACATGGCTTCCATCTTGCCGGTCACCACAGCGAGGCCGAATAGCTCAGGGGAAACAATTCTTCCAGTTCGAGTATTGCATACCACGCATAAATATCAATTGAAGCTCTCATACAATATATTACCGTGAGACTGTTTATATACCACTCGAATTAATTAACTGTGCATAATTTGATCTTGTGCCACTTGTAATGCTAACATATAATAAGATGATTTGTGGTGTTTTTTAAAATCACTGTTTAACTGTTGACTGGATAATATCGAAATCTGTATGATTTGACACTAAGCATGAAGAGATGTCAGCTCGCAAATACAGTATCGCGTGTGTCCACCATTGGCGTTGATGCAGGTCTGACAACGACGACACATGGACGACACTAAGCGATTGAAGAAAGCTTGGGGAATGTTGTTCCATGTCTGAACCAACGCATGTCCCAATTCTGCTAAGTCAATGGCTGATTCTGAGCTGGACGTAAACGTCACTCCATTTCATCTCAAGCGTGCTCGATAGGGGACAGGTCCGGAGAAACAGCTGGTCAGGGAAGTACCGGAATGTTCTGCTGTCTCAGGAAATCTGTCACAACACAATCGACATCTGGACGGGCATTATCTTGCTGAAACGTGAAGTTACGTCTTTGTCCTTGAATGAACGGCTGCACATGAGGCACACTGATCTCATCCCTGTATCGCACACCTGTCAGATTGCATTTGAGAATGACAAGTTGTGTCCGACCATGAAATGTGATGCTTCCCCATACGATAACAATGCGGCCACTAAACTGTCGACGTTCCTAAATATTTATTATTATTTTCACCTAGAGTAGAAGTAAACAACTGACCAAGGAAGCTTAAAGCGTAATGGGTTGGTAAGAGTTAGGGTCGTTACTGCCCCATATGTTCATAAATAGGTTTGATCAGTCCGAGGAGCCATTCTAAGATGCTTGTATCAAATATAATGGTAAATAACTTTAGTCTTACTGGATTCAATACATCAGATAGTTTCAAATATTCATTAATAATTTCAGCTATTCCCGGCGACGTTTTGTCTTAAGATTGGAGACACCATTCCTAATTCCATGTATTGTTTTTTTCTTTGTGAAGAGTATGAACATCGTTATGTCGGGGTCATTTACTAGGGTTTGATAATAATGGAAAAATGTCAAGAAAGAGTCAAGATTCACTTCCTCTGTTTTCGTGTTCTTGCGCAATTTATTCAGTAATTTCAAACAATCTTCTGGGGGACGTCGTACGCAGATCTTGTAAAGTTTTCTGCATTTTCTCAAATCTTTATTTCTGATACTATGAGGCCACGGGCCTATGAATACAAAAACACCTCATCGGTGCAGACTTGAAATAAAATGTTAACAATGAAAGCATGTATAATATATACAATCTTAATATGACAAAATTGATTTCCTTTTTTCGAATGCATAAAACAGATATTTAGCAGTATTCAAGGAAATGTCTTCATTTTGGATGATAACAACGAATTGAATTTTAGTATATTGGACATTTGATGAAAATTGACTAACATGTTCAATTTAAGAACATTTAACCATTTTGTTTTAAACCTTACAGAACGGAAGAGGCAAACATTCCTTACCCTTAGCTCCTAATCCATAAGGTCTCGCTGGACGGAGCTCTCTCTCAGCACGGGAGAACTTGGCAGCTGACACCATTTTCATGGACTTGGTGATCTTTTGAATGTTGGTGACGGACTTGAGTCGGATACGAACTAATTAAAGATCAACAATAGTAACTTTTAGAAGAATCTTTGTCGACATTTGGGAAACCAATTTTCGGTTTCCTGTTTCTTACAATACAATGAACATATTGATTCAGGAGTAGAATTACACAAGTTGTAAAAGACCAGCTTAATACAAACAGTTCACAACTCATACTAAACAGTCAGGATGTTAAATTAAGTTAAGCTTCCCAGCTTTCATAAGTCTCTGGATTAGCTGACTTGTGGCCATTCAGAAAACATGAATCAGAATTATGTAACAATAGAAAAATGTGATTAATAATTGCAATCAAAACATTAGAAAAAGCACTGTATGTATTTGACAAGTAAATGCACACAACTAGATGTAACATATAGAATTGAATAGTTAAAAAAATGAAGTCATACTTACTATCCTTCAGTGTTGCCATGCCCCGCACTTGGGTGCTTGGGAAGAAAGAAATATATATGGTAAATAACAAACAGCTAGAAATTTGATTTCTAGGTACACCTACAGAATAACGGATACCTACCAGCCTATTATTTAGTGTCACATCACCCTAAGCCTAAAGCTAACCCTAAACCTTACCCTATCCCTTACCATAAGTAAACTCGATGGTTCAAAGATGGTGGAAGGTACCTGGTATTCTGTAGTCTTACCGATTTCTGCCTATTAACAAATCAAAGAAACTGTTCATCCCAGTCTCAAATAATTTACCAATATGCAATACCAGAGTGGCACATTTTGACTCTCAGAAATTGTGGTTATCACATCACACATCTGTATTAAAACTTCTGACTGCCACTAAACTACTGTCCCTATGCTATCACTAACCATGTATGTATACATATTACTTTGTTGAAAAAAACTTTAACTGGAGACTACAAGAATGACGACAATTTTATGGATATACAACTATTTTAATCTGTATAGGTGACACTTTGGCTGATTCTTATGTCATTGTCAAGCAAGTAAATATGTCAGATAGAGTACAGGCCTGAAACAGAGCATTACCACTGTGAAAATCCATAACCCTCATCATGGCACAGTAAAAACATTTTCTATTACTGAAAAAAACACACCAAAATTTCACAGGGAATATGGCATGGGGAGAGGAGGGGACTCTAATCACAGCAATAATTTTTTTGACAAACGGAAGATTACACCATAACAAGTATCAAGCATTTGTGATGACTATAACTATGTTGAAATGACATGTCCTGCTCAATATCAGAGGGTTATACTTAACATGTTCACTACAAGCATTGTATGTTGGTCAACAAGTAGGACAGGACAGTACTACAGGTGTTTCTGAGCACGCAAATAATAAAAACAATTATCACACAATACTGTGTTTGCAGAACATTTGGACATATTTCATTTCAGAGCCAAACAAACTACATACAAATATGCTGAATGTCTGACTTTCGTGTCAATCACCTTGAAATTGACTTTGATGTTGCATGTGGCAAAGAGTTAGTAACAGACAAGAAATGCATTTCATTCACCAGTTCAGCATTGATTATGTCATAAATGGCATATGTTTTATATTATTTCAAAAATGTAACTTTGATAATGTCACAAACAACTACACACCATTGCGGTGAAATTACTTGCACCGTGCGTGATAACATGGCTTCCATCTTGCCGGTCACCACAGCGAGGCCGAATAGCTCAGGGGAAACAATTCTTCCAGTTCGAGTATTGCATACCACGCATAAATATCAATTGAAGCTCTCATACAATATATTACCGTGAGACTGTTTATATACCACTCGAATTAATTAACTGTGCATAATTTGATCTTGTGCCACTTGTAATGCTAACATATAATAAGATGATTTGTGGTGTTTTTTAAAATCACTGTTTAACTGTTGACTGGATAATATCGAAATCTGTATGATTTGACACTAAGCATGAAGAGATGTCAGCTCGCAAATACAGTATCGCGTGTGTCCACCATTGGCGTTGATGCAGGTCTGACAACGACGACACATGGACGACACTAAGCGATTGAAGAAAGCTTGGGGAATGTTGTTCCATGTCTGAACCAACGCATGTCCCAATTCTGCTAAGTCAATGGCTGATTCTGAGCTGGACGTAAACGTCACTCCATTTCATCTCAAGCGTGCTCGATAGGGGACAGGTCCGGAGAAACAGCTGGTCAGGAAGTACCGGAATGTTCTGCTGTCTCAGGAAATCTGTCACAACACAATCGACATCTGGACGGGCATTATCTTGCTGAAACGTGAAGTTACGTCTTTGTCCTTGAATGAACGGCTGCACATGAGGCACACTGATCTCATCCCTGTATCGCACACCTGTCAGATTGCATTTGAGAATGACAAGTTGTGTCCGACCATGAAATGTGATGCTTCCCCATACGATAACAATGCGGCCACTAAACTGTCGACGTTCCTAAATATTTATTATTATTTTCACCTAGAGTAGAAGTAAACAACTGACCAAGGAAGCTTAAAGCGTAATGGGTTGGTAAGAGTTAGGGTCGTTACTGCCCCATATGTTCATAAATAGGTTTGATCAGTCCGAGGAGCCATTCTAAGATGCTTGTATCAAATATAATGGTAAATAACTTTAGTCTTACTGGATTCAATACATCAGATAGTTTCAAATATTCATTAATAATTTCAGCTATTCCCGGCGACGTTTTTGTCTTAAGATTGGAGACACCATTCCTAATTCCATGTATTGTTTTTTTCTTTGTGAAGAGTATGAACATCGTTATGTCGGGGTCATTTACTAGGGTTTGATAATAATGGAAAAATGTCAAGAAAGAGTCAAGATTCACTTCCTCTGTTTTCGTGTTCTTGCGCAATTTATTCAGTAATTTCAAACAATCTTCTGGGGGGACGTCGTACGCAGATCTTGTAAAGTTTTCTGCATTTTCTCAAATCTTTATTTCTGATACTATGAGGCCACGGGCCTATGAGTACAAAAACACCTCATCGGTGCAGACTTGAAATAAAATGTTAACAATGAAAGCATGTATAATATATACAATCTTAATATGACAAAATTGATTTCCTTTTTTCGAATGCATAAAACAGATATTTAGCAGTATTCAAGGAAATGTCTTCATTTTTTGGATGATAACAACGAATTGAATTTTAGTATATTGGGGAAAACATAGAATTGCGACAAAAGATATTTACGTCTTAATTCAATGTAGGCTGGACAGATAAGTAAGAAGTGATATTCATTTTCAATTACGTTTAAGTTACACATTTTGCATGTTCTTTGTTCCCGGGGAATGTTATAGTAACGTCCTCTTTCAATTTCTAAACTATGGGAACTTAACCTAAATCGTGATAAACAAGATCTATATTTGGATACAGTAATATGAGTTAAGTATGTTTCACAAGAAATCGTTAATTTAAAATTACAATACGTAAACATTTTGGGGCTCTCAGATAAATCACTATGGCAAACTTGCTGAAAATTATCTTTCAGTCGTTGAAAAAACATTTTAACAAAAACGTTTTTATCTCCGTAAGTGTGTGATACCCAAACATCACCAAAACCTAATTTAAATATGATATTTCTAACCTTGGTAACCCAGTTCTCATAGCCTTGCTCATCATACATACGCATCATATTGTAACATTTTCGAGGCAAACGGCATCCAGGCATGTTAATAAGATTTAACCAATATTTAATACATTTTAAAACAGCAGATAGTTGGACAGGATATCTACCACACTCGGCTAATACTCCATTATTGGACGTTGATAACTTAACGTTTAGAAAACGTTTGCAGGCATATAAATGTACTTTTCCAGTTCTTCAATATTATTAAGCCCCCAAATTTCAGCCCCATAGAGGAGAATTGGTGTTATCTTTGTATCGAATAATTTGAAGTACAGATGAGGCGAGTGTGGTTTCAAACAATGTATACTACTAAGAAGTAATGACAGCATTTTTCTGGCTTGAATAGAAATATTGTCAAACGCTTTTGACCACTGTAACCTATTACTAAAATACAATCCGAGATAACAATATCCTGAAACAACTTCAACAACACTACCATTATAAAACCATTTTTCATACCGAGATAAACCACCTCCTTTCTTAAAAACAACAATTTTAGTTTTATGCATGTTGACTGACAATTTCCATTCTGAACAGTACCTATTAAGAACATTTAGTTTAAACTGCAGACTTCTCACGCTGTTCCCGAACAAAATAAGGTCATCCGCAAATAAAAGAAGGAAAATATGAGTAACATCTGGATGTAGCTGGACACCAAACCGACATTCAGTTTCAATTACATTAACTAATTCATTTATATAAAACTGAAACAAAAAGGGGCTGAGCATACACCCTTGTCTGACTCCCATTGGGCAATCAAATACACGAGATAAACTACTATTTGAGCGAACACAAGATTTTACACTATTATAAATAGACTCTAACATTTTACCCATTTTACGACTCAGACCGTGTTTATATAATAACTTCCAAAGAAAATGTCTTTGAACAGAATCGAAAGCTTTCGAGAAATCAACAAAAGCTACATAGAATTTACCACCTTTGCGGGAAAGATAACGCTGGATAATAGAATTCAGAACAAAACAGTTGTCAACCACTGAATAACCTTTTCGAAAACCTGATTGACACTCTAATCGCTGATTCAGGATGTACGTGAAGACTTTGCTGAGGATACTCAGGAGGCTTATTGCTCTGTAGTTGTCGGGGATAGAAGTGTCACCTTTCTTATGAAAAGGAATAATTATTCCTGTAGACCAGGTCTCTGGGAATTTACCCTTTTGGTACATACTATTGAATATTATCTCGAGGTATGGAACGATTACATGGGATGAATGTTTAAGATATTCACTCAATATGTCATCAAGTCCTGGAGATTTGTTGTTCTTTAGCGCCTCGAGACTGCGAATGATCTCCAATCTTGTTAAGGGGGAATCCAGAATATCTTCAGTGATTACTCTTATAGAATCTGGGGGATCTTCTATATCATGTATATCGTCATTAATACATTCTAAATTATCTGGACTGTCGTAGAGGGTAGAGAAATAATCCACCCAGTCTCCAATATCTATGGGGTTTGGGCGCAGTTTACGACCTGATAAACGTTTTATTGTACCCCAAAAACGTTTCGAGTCAGTTGTCGAGGTCTCCAAATCATCTCTCTGACGTTGAATATATTCTTCTTTCTTTGTTCGACATAAGGACTTGTATTCACTGCATGTTTTCTTATATTTCAACAAGAAAGATTTGTCTTTTGATTTTCTAAAAGCATTTAGAAACTGACATCGTTCATGCTTTTTAGAGAGGCATTCACTATCGTACCATGGTGAAGTGCTGCGATTGTGACTTTCTGGTCGTCTAAACATGGAGGCAGCTGAAAGGATGGCGTCCGTGAATATCGAGACTGCTTCTGCTACATTAGTCAATGAACACATGGCTGCTTGTTCGAGTAATGCTTAAGTCTCCGAGGATTCCATATGATGAAGAAAGTTGAGTTTACACGACTCCTTCCATATGTACCTGCACTGATCTATATGGGTAGAGGTCGGGTTCGGCAAAGAGCTACCGGGTATATTGACCTCTAGCTGTATGGGAAGATGCTGGGATTCAGACCGTGACACGATGTGAAAGTTGGCGATTAACAATGCTGTTTGATATACTTATTCATTGTTTCTCCATATTTCTTGCGGAACATTAATAAATATTTCCTAATTTGTTCCGACGACAAGGGAGTAGAAATGGTTGCATTATATGCAATCGAAAAAGAGTCGTCGCTGTGTTCGATCGATAATGCGTATTATGTAATCTTTGTTTGTGACAAATGCTGATCAGTTCCTAGTAAATGGCTATAGGATATTACATTTGCATGCTAAACGTTTTCAAAAGCTTTAATTACTGAATAAGAACAATGCTGAAAGCCCCCCAACTCCAACTTTTGTCATGATGAATATATTTAAAAGATAACACATCATTTTGTTTTGTAACACAAATAGGTTTATTTATATGAATATGTTTTGTGTTAGCTGATTCCATTAGCCAAGATTTCAAATCTTACTCTCGCCCTCAAACGGCATTTTATGTACCCTTCAATGTGTTATTATTTTCACATCACCAAAACCTTGAGGCATATTATATAGACATTTTTGTACTGTTGTCATGTTACCTGAATATACTGTTTGTCTATTGTTTTGTCAGATCCATGAACGAACGACGGGTTATCTTTCTCTGTTCCGTCATGCAAGGCAATGGTCTCTGTTATTCAAACTTTAACAATGCATTTGTAATAACAACTCTCAAAGAGAGTTAGACGTTGACGAATATACTTGACCTTTACCAGTCAGCCAAATCTCATATCAAATACAGGTCCTATCACGTGAAATGGTCACTACGTTGATCTAGCTTCAACACAGCCCAGGATTTATCAGTGTCATGGTTTTTGGTCTTTGTAGGTCTGGATTTGTTTCTGCAAACGATACTGCAGAGGAAGCAGACCGCAATTTCTTTGAACACATCGAGGACCGCTTTTATGTGTTAGTATCGTTTAAAACGAAATGTTATTCTTGATAATGGATACAAATTTTTTAATTACTTTATTATTATTATACATTACTTACACCCATAGCTTTCTGAAGTGAAGGCTGATCTGTTGATTTAAAAACTGAACAATATGTCAACTAACGTGCAAAAAGCCTTGGCAAC